CCTCACACTTGTCTGTCTCTGTATGAACCAAAGGGCAGGGATACAGTCATCAATCTGTGATAGACTTTGAAAGAAGTGATGGAATTGGTCACTGATCATGATTGTTCTAGTAGTTTTTTGGTGGAATCTTTAGGGTTTTCTATATACAGTTTCATGCCATCTATAAATAGTGACAGCTTTCCTTCTTCTTTCCAATTTTGATGGCTTTTATTTCTTCTTCTTGTCTGATTTCTGTGGCTAGGACTTTCACTACTATGTTGGATTAGAGTGGCAAAAGTGGACACATGATTCCCTCTGGACATTTTCACCCCTAGAGTGCCGGGGAGCACGATCATGCTCCTCCTAGGTTTCCCCAAAAGTGCCGGGAGCGCTATCGCGCTCCTCCTGCAGTGTCACTATTAGATGCTAGTAGTTCACTCTTTATTGACAGATGGCACCTAAGTGCAGAGTACTTATGATGCCGAATATTTGTAGTTCTAAAATTGACCACTGACATTTATCTGCCTAATTTTCATAATTTTTTTTCCTAAACAGCTGTAAAATCAGCAAAAATGCCTTGGCAATTTGAGCACAGTTCCTAGGATACTGGTTGGCACTCAAAGGGTTCATGTGCACATGAACCACCTGGGGACCCTGTTAAATGCAGACTGATTCAGAGGGTCTGGGATGGAGCCTGACATGCTACATTTCCACCCAGCTTCCAGGGGATGCCGATGCTGTGGGACTATATCCGGAACAGCGAGGGACAAAGCCACTGTAACCTGGTATAGTATAATCTGGAGTCCAAGGATCTTCACTAACAAGTGGCCCAACCCACATGCACCCCTTCCCCAGCCCCAAGACCTGGGTAGGATGCAACATTTCCCTAGTTCTCTATGCCTGTCCTTTGCAGTTCTCACCACTGCTAGTGGCTTCGTCAGAAGAAGGCAGGGTCCCCAAGGTGCACAGCCCAATTGTCTTGTACACTGTAAGTGGCTGATCCCATTGGCTGAAATAAAAATCCACATGGGAGCAGCCCTATGCCCACCTGCAGGAACACACAAGCCTGGTGATCCAGTGGCTGGGGCAGACAGACCCAGAAGCTCCCAGGGCCACAGGCTGGGGGGCTGCTCAAGCATACTGGCTTCCTATAAGCCTGGGCTGGGCTGGCAGGAGCCCAGGAGGAGGATGGTCACACCCCCTCCTGTCTCAGAGTCTGGAATCTGGGTCCTTCGAGTACCCAAAATACCTCCAGAAAAGGGAGAAGGCCAACCAGAGCTCAAGGTCCCCACCTGTCCCTTCACCTTCCTTTCCTTGCCCAGGTGTTGAGCAGGGTGGCAGCACCTGGCTGAGCTCAGCCCCTCTCAGGCGGGCAAAACTCTGCCTTCTACTGGACCCCACATCCTCCAACCCACCCAATCCTCCCCTAACTGGGCTCAAGACATGCACCCAAAACCCCCTTTTTAAAATATATATACTTTTTTTAATTGATTTCAGAGAGGAAAGGAGAGGGAGAGAGAAATAGAAATATTAATGATGAGAATCACTGTTTGGCTGCCTCCTGCACGCCCTACACTGGAGATTCAAGCCTGAAACCCAGGCATGTGCCCTGACCAGGAATCGAAACGTGACCCCCTGGTTCATAGGTCGACGCTCAACTACTGAGCCATGCTGACCACAGCTAAAATCTTTTAATAATTATAAAGCCAACATTTATCCTGTGCTAAGCACTTTATAGAACGATTTTGTTTAGGGTGGCTCAATGTATCCATTAAGATGCATTTGACCTTGAGGAGCAAAATATCCAAATAACAGCAGCTCAGTCAACAACAAACAACCACGACTGCGAATAATAACAGCACTTGCTATGTGTCAGTTACTGCTCTAAGTGCTTTCACATTTATTAACTCACTTAGTCCTCACAACAACTTTATTACCCTCCCATGCTGCTCCCCTCGGAGAAAGTTGAGTGGCCTTCATCTCCTGTTCTATGAAATGGGAATATGGGTTTGACCTCCTGTCGCTGCTCACGGCACCACACTACCCTCCCGTGACCTGGTCCTCAAACCAACGGACGAAATGTTTGCTGGCCTCCTGCTGTTTCGACAGGCCAAGGAACATGCCCATGGCCACTTGGGTAAGTGGCAGAGCCAGGACTAGGACTCAAACCTCCTGACCCCCTGAAACTCAGCAGGGACCCACTGCTACCCAGATGCCCAGAATATCTTCCTACAAGTTTTGCTGCCTTGCCAAGTTTTTCAGGTTAAAGAAAACATTTGTTCCCTTCTCCTCCTCCTCCTCTCCCTTCCGCCGGTCCTCCTCCTCTTCTCGCCCTCCGGAAAGTCTCCCTAGGGGGTGGGTGGAACGGCAGCATCTGCCAAGGCAAGGCCATTCACAGAGGCCAGAGATGCCCAGTTTAGGAGGGGCTGGAGGTGGGAAGGCTTTCAGCCAGCAGAGACCCCCAGCCGGCAGGCAGGGCCCAAAATTTCGGGGAGCCAAGGTGGAGGCTGAGCACAGTCCTATTCTTTTTATAAAAACGAACCCATTTAGTCTTCCTAACACCCCTTTAATGTTAGTATTTATCCTCATTTTACAGATGAGGAAACTGAGGCACAGAGAGATGACCTGACCAAGGTCACACAGCCAGTGAGTGGTGGAGCCAGGATTCAAATCTAGGCAGTCAGGCACCAGAGTATGGCTGTCCTTGGTCTTCCTCAGAGCTTCCTTGCTTCATCGCCTCCCTTCTGAAGACAGGATGGCGTGGGAACCCTCAGCCAATGCCCCTCAAAGTCTGAGACCCTCCCGCCCCATGCCAGGGAAGACCGAGAGCCAGGAGGCCTGGGGGCACGCTGGGCAAACACTCACTTGCCCTCCGAGCCGTAGCTGTTCATGCTGTCCTCGATGGACTCATGGCTGGTCTGGCGCAGCGTCCGGCTGGGCATCTCCACCGCCAGGCCCGTCTCCGTGCTCCTCTGAATGGCCCCCTTCAGCCTCCGGCTGTCCCCTTCTTGGCAGAGAGGCAGAGGGAAATGAGGAGAGAGACACAGGGTGGGAGAGGACAGAGAGGCCAGACATCTGGTTAGCATTTCAGGGGCTGGTGTCGGCCAGCTTTGGTCCCACCCCCAACCCATCAACCTCCTCCAACCACTGGCCTCACCTGCACCCAGCCTGCAGGGGGCAGTCTGTCATTCATACCCACCCCATAATCAGTATCACATGTGTTCTCTCACCTGATGGATTCATTTACATGGACTGCCTCTCTCTCCCCTTTGAATTGGAAGTCATGTCTCCCCTGCAACTTTCTCCAAATCCTTTCTCCTCCTCTTCTGCAGCTACTATTTATTGAGCACCTACTATAGACGATACATACTCTTGTCAACCCCAGCACAACGGGCAGTTTGGATGGGATACTGCTTTGTTGTCAGGGATGTCCTATGAACTGTAAAAGTCTAACGGTAACCCCGGCCTCTACCCAGTAAATGCTAGTAGCACCCTCCAATCCAGTGTGGCAATCAAAAACATCTCCAGACACTGCAAAACATCCCCTAGGGGCAACAGTCACCCTCGACAGAGGACCATCGACTGAGGCTACTGTCTCTGAAGCCAGATTACCCAGGTTCAAATCCTGGATCTTTTTCTCATGGGCTGTGAGGCTTTGGGCAAATTACTCAGCCTCTCTGTGCCTCATTTCCCCAACTGTAAAATGGGAGAACAACAAGGTTTTAATGAAGACAAACAGTCCTCTGCCCTTCCTATTCCCTCCCCTTGGGCAGGAGCTCAATCCATGGCCTCCACTCTGTGATGGCACATCACCCTCTCCAAGACCTTCCCTGACCACCCCCTGGCTTTCTCTGCCCCGTGGCCATGCTGTGGCTTTCTCTGCCCCATGGCCATGCTGTGGCTTTCTCTGCCCCGTGGCCATGCTGTGGCTTTCTTCCAAACACAGGGCGCATTCCTGATTTATTGGCCAGCTTTCTCCACAAAGACAGTAAGCTCCGCAAGGACACGGGTTGTTTTGCCCACTGCTGAAGCCCCTGGGCTGAGAACAGGCCCAGCCACTGTAGGTGTTCAATTAAAACCTGCTGGAGAAGGAGGGTCTGCCCGGGG